TTAATGGTAGGTCTTATCGCTAATACATAGTAGTTTGACAAATGGGGATATTCCAGAGTCATAGGGGAGCTTCTCTTTATTATTAGTCCTCACAATACACTACTTGTTTCTTAATCTCATATGTCATTTATCTACTGGAAGCGAAATATGGATACAGTGCAAGGATTTCAGGTATTTTATCCATGGTAATAAGATAGGTTGCCATATCATATAGCGTGAGCTTAGATTTATCTCTAAATGGCTCAATTTTACCACAATCCAAGATATAGTGTTCGAGTGTGTGTCCCTGTCTTTGTCCACACACTTTACACTTTACTTCATCTAGATCCCTATACAAGCCGAACTGCCAGAGATACTTGTAGCCAAGTCTTATACGAGCTGTGACAACATCTGTTAGTCTACTTACTTTGTTACTTGCCCCATACACATGTTTTACTTCACACATTTCATTGTGATGAACAATGGACCTGCTAGTTCCAGTTTGCACTGTTCTACTTTCTTCAAATCCATTCAGGAGTTCTCGTCTAATGACACTTTTAAGGGACCTATTTGATAGCTCAAGATTCCATTCAATACTGTCTTTATTTACTGCAGCCTTAGCAAGGGCGTCAACTTTGTCATGTTCCTGCATGCCAATGTGAGAAGGAATCCACAACATTTTTATATTTACTCTCTTGCTAAGTATTCTTATATATCTACGTCTAGCTTCCAAGACAAGCACGTTATTACTTGATTGCAAACTGTTTATTGCTCGTAGTGAGGAAAGGGAGTCGGAAATAATTAAGCTGTCTACTTCAGTGTTGTCAATAATTTCGAGTGCTACCAGTATCGCTACCAACTCGGCTTGCATTGTGGATGCCCAGTTACTAATTCTTATATTCCTTTGAATTGTGCTGCCATCGGGCTGATGAGCAATAACAGCACTTCCTGCAGCTGTATTGAGTGATCCGTCAGTGTATATGGCCTGTGCAATGTTGTTTTCAGCTTGTATATTGTGAATGTGTTCTATGGTGCTTAATTTAGCAGCAAGCTGAGCATGAGGGTTGCTTGTGATTAGTTTCTTGGTGGGGTATGCAGGGGTCAGGATGTCAAAAGGTACTATCTGCCAGGGTGGAAGGAAGTGCTGTACTCTCATTTGTATATACATCGTGCAGTCCCATTATTTTAATATGAGTGGCTGTTCTTTGAATCCATTTAGACTCACTGGTTCCATTTAGAGTGACGGACCAACCAGGCTGTGGTGGGTATGTGGGCCTGCGGGCCGCTCCAAGCAACAGCCTGGTGGACCAAACTCTCCAGGTCGAGCCTGGCCTCTGGCCGGGCTTGGGGAGTAGAAGAACTCCCAGAACCCCATCAAGCAGGTATCATAGACGCCTCAGGAAATAAACTATAGGAGGAGTATATCTTGTATCGGGCCCCTGCGAAAGACAGATGGAACTTTCACAGATGACAACAAAGAAATGAGCGAAATTCTGAGGAATCAGTACGACTTTTGTTTTCAGAAAGCCATTAAACACATTAAAGATTGATAACCCAAATGAATTTTTCATGGATGTGATACCAACATCAAACCATATATCAGACGTCACCCTATCCACACTGGATTTTGAAGAAGCCATAGACAGTATGCCTATGCACTCTGCACCAGGCCCGGATTCCTGGAACTCCATATTCATCAAGAACTGAAAAAACCACTGTCGCAGGCCCTTCACATTCCTTAAGAGGCAAAGCCTAGATACTGGCGTTATCCCTGACATACTAAAAGCAGCAGAGATAGCACCACTCCATAGAGGAGGAAATAAGGCAGAGGCAAAAAAATACAGAACGATAGCACTAACATCCTTGACAACCGCCCGATCCAATATGCGAATGTAGGCAGAATATTGGGACTCATGATCAATACAACAGGGATAAAAATTCACGTAAGGGACCGCTAAACAAAGCCAAAGCAGCCTTAGGAAAACTGAGGTGATTCCGAAGCCTCGGTACAATCATACAGATACACCTATGAAATGTTGACCAGACCACACACTAGAAGGTGAAGGAACGACGACGTTTCGGTCCGTCCTGGACCATTCTCAAGTCGACTTGAGAATGGTCCAGGACGGACCGAAACGTCGTCGTCCCTTCACCTTCTAGTGTGTGGTCTGGTCAACATTCCTCAGCCAGGTTATTGTGACTCCTCGCCTGTACCTATAAAAGGCTCTAGTCTGGCCGCATCTAGAATATCCCCCAGTACCACTACACACCTTAAAAAAAACTAACACTAACATGTAAAAACTAGAAGCAGTGCAAAATAAGGTACTAAAGAGAGCAGCAAAGCACCGTCCACCATATGATCAGACCTGGTTGATACCTGCTTGATGGGGTTCTGGGAGTTCTTGTACGCCACAAGCCCGGCCCGAGACTAGGCTTGACTTGTGAGAGTTTGGTCCAACAGGCTGTTGCTCGGAGTGGCCCGTAGGACCCCATTCCCACACAGCCCGGTTGGTTGGACACGTTTTTTAGAAAACACTCTAGTTTTCTCTTGAAGATGTCCACGGTTGTTCCTGCAATATTTTTTATAGTTGCTGTATACATATACAGCGAAGTATACAATCTACAATCTCAATATACAATATACAATCTACAATCTCAATATACAATCTAGGAACTCCGTGGACTCCTGAACATACAGCCGCTAAAACATCAGACTACAGCACCAAGCCATCAGGGTGTGGAACACCATCGAAATGTTAGAGGACCCAATGTTAGAAAGATTACTCCAAGATGAGACGCCCCGCTCCCACAGCTGGTGGCCCAAGATGAGACGCCCTGCTCCCACAGCTGGTGGCCCAAGATGAGACGCCCCGCTCCCACAGCTGGTGGCCCAAGATGAGACGCCCCACTCCCACAGCTGGTGGCCCAAGATGAGACGCCCCGCTCCCACAGCTGGTGGCCCAAGATGAGACGCCCCGCTCCCACAGCTGGTGGCCCAAGATGAGACGCCCCACTCCCACAGTTGGTAGCCCAAGATGAAACGCCCCACTCCCACAGCTGGTGGCCCAAGATGAGACGCCCCGCTCCCACAGCTGGTGGCCCAAGATGAGACGCCCCGCTCCCACAGCTGGTGGCCCAAGATGAGACGCCCCACTCCCACAGCTGGTAGCCCAAGATGAAATGCCCCACTCCCACAGCTGGTGGCCCAAGATGAAACGCCCCGCTCCCACAGCTGGTGGCCCAAGATGGTCGTCCCACTCCCACAGCTGGTGGCCCAAGATGAGATGCCCCGCTCCCACAGCTGGTGGCCCAAGATGAGATGCCCCGCTCCCACAGCTGGTGGCCCAAGATGAGACGCCCCACTCCCATAGCTGGTGGCCCAAGATGAGACGCCCCACTCCCACAGCTGGTGTCCCAAGATGAGACGCCTCGCTCCCACAGTTGGTGGCCCAAGATGAGACGCCCCGCTCCCACAGCTGGTGGCCCAAGATGAGACGCCCCGCTCCCACAGCTGGTGGCCCAAGATGAGACGCCTCGCTCCCACAGCTGGTGGCCCAAGATGAGACGCTCCGCTCCCACAGCTGGTGTCCCAAGATGAGACGCCCCGCTCCCACAGCTGGTGGCCCAAGATGAGACGCCCCACTCCCACAGCTGGTGGCCCAAGATGAGACGCCCCGCTCCCACAGCTGGTGGCCCAAGATGAGACGCCTAGCTCCCACAGCTGGTGGCCCAAGATGAGACGCCCCGCTCCCACAGCTGGTGGCCCAAGATGAGACGCCCCGCTCCCACAGCTGGTGGCCCAAGATGAGACGCCCCACTCCCACAGCTGGTGGCCCAAGATGAGACGCCCCACTCCCACAGCTGGTGGCCCAAGATGAGACGCCCCGCTCCCACAGCTGGTGGCCCAAGATGAGACGCCCCGCTCCCACAGCTGGTGGCCCAAGATGAGACGCCCCGCTCCCACAGCTGGTGGCCCAAGATGAGACGCCCCGCTCCCACAGCTGGTGGCCCAAGATGAGACGCCCCGCTCCCACAGCTGGTGGCCCAAGATGAGACGCCCCGCTCCCACAGCTGGTGGCCCAAGATGAGACGCCCCGCTCCCACAGCTGGTGGCCCAAGATGAGACGCCCCACTCCCACAGCTGGTGGCCCAAGATGAGACGCCCCGCTCCCACAGCTGGTGGCCCAAGATGAGACGCCCCGCTCCCACAGCTGGTGGCCCAAGATGAGACGCCCCGCTCCCACAGCTGGTGGCCCAAGATGAGACGCCCCGCTCCCACAGCTGGTGGCCCAAGATGAGACGCCCCGCTCCCACAGCTGGTGGCCCAAGATGAGACGCCCCACTCCCACAGCTGGTGGCCCAAGATGAGACGCCCCACTCCCACAGCTGGTGGCCCAAGATGAGACGCCCCGCTCCCACAGCTGGTGGCCCAAGATGAGACGCCCCGCTCCCACAGCTGGTGGCCCAAGATGAGACGCCCCGCTCCCACAGCTGGTGGCCCAAGAGCCTCGATTTACTAGATGAAAACCCCGCCCCACAGTACATAATTCCCAGATGAAATACTGACCAGAAATCCCTCCCCCAATAATAGGTAAAAATTGTGTATATGTATATATAAACTGAATATATAAATCCAAAATAATAGCCCTGAACAGAACAACATGTGTGGAAGCATCGGAGTGTGTATATATGAATGCTACACAGTATTCATCTATAGACATCCATATATGGTGAAACACATGTGAAGAACCTCTCACACACTCACAGCTCCCTGACAAGAGGGAGCCAGCTTAGCTTAGGTGCCAACACCCACACATGGTGTCAGCAAGGCGGACAGCCCGCCTGCTTTCATACCTCTCACTGTATGTCCCACTTCTGTACTTCCCTTCACCTGTGCCTCTCCTTCCTCTTTACTCAGGCAGGGAGGGGAGTACTGTGCCTCAAGAATGTGAATGATCGTTTATGAAAGTTTCAATGTGTGTATAAAAGGCCGTTAATAGTTTTGTTTTTGTTGCTTTCAGGTACGAAGATGGCTGTGTAAGCCTGAGGCCGCCGCCCCTGCCACGGAGAAGGTAAGGTTGTCACCACACTTTTATACCGCCTACTACACTATTATATGTGCGCTGACATGGACCATATTGGGAGCGTGGCAACCAACAATGTTGACGTACGTTGTACTTACCTAGGTCACAGAGTTGGGCTTTGGCTCTGGTCCCGCCTCCTCCCACCAGTCAATCAACTGGTGTACAGATTCCTGAGCCTACTGGGCTCCTATCATATCTACAGTTGAAACTGTGTATGGAGTCAGCCTCCACCACATCACTTCCTAGTGCATTCCATCTGTTAACTACTCTGACATTGAAAAAGTTCTTTCTAATGTGTCTGTGGCTCATCCGGGTACTCAGTTTCCACCTGTGTCCCCTTGTTTGTGCATGCTAAAGAGTTTGTCTTTGTCCACCCTGTCAGTTTCCCTGAGAATTTTGTAGGTGGTTATCATGTCTCCCCTTATTCCTCTGTCTTTCAGGGACGTGAGTTTCAGCTCTCATTGCCTTTCCTCGTAGCTCATACCTCTCGGTTCCGGGACTAGTCTGGTGGCATACCACTGAATCTTCTCTAACTTTGTCTTGTGTTTATCTAGGAGGGGTGGAACTGCATATTCCAGGATTGGTCTGACATATGTGGTATACAGGGTCCTGAACGATTCCTTTCACAAGTTTCTGAAGGCAGGGTTTATGTTGGCCAGTCTAGCATATGTCACTGATAATATCCTTTTGATGTGGACCTCTGGGGACAGGTTCGGTGTGATATCAACCCCCAGATCTTTTTCTCTATTTGACTCTTGCAGGTTCTTATCTCCCAAATGTTACCTTGTGTTCAGCCTTCTGCTTTCTTTGCTTAATTTCATTACTTTGCACTTTCCAGAGTTGAACTTTAGTAGCTATTTTCTAGACCATTCCTCCAGTTTGTCCAGGTCGTCCTGTAGTCTCTGTTTATCTTCACCTGTCTTGATTCTTCTCATAATTTTTGCATCATCAGCAAACATTGAGAGGAATGAGTCTATATCCTCCGGAAGCTCGTTTACATCTATCAGAAACGGGATGGGTCCAAGTACAGAGCCCTGTGGGACTCAGCTTGTGACATCTCGCCACTCTGATGTCTTCCCCCCTCACCGTTACTCGCTGTTTCCTTTTGCTTAGATACTCCCTTATCCACTGGAGCACCTTACCTTTCACTGCTGCCTGTTGCTCCAACTTTTGTAGCAGCCTTTTATGGGATACTGTGTTAAAGGCTTACTGACAGTCCAAGAAAATGCAGTCTGCCAACCCTTTTTTTTCTTACCTAATTATTGTTGCTTGGTCATAGAATTCTAGTAAACCTGTGAGGCACGATTTACCATCTCTGAACCCATGCTGGTGGTGTGTTACAAAGCTGTTTCCCTCCAGATGCTCTACGAGCCTTTTCCTCACGATCTTCTCCATCACCTTGCATGGTATACAAGTTAGGGAAACAGGCCTGTAGTTCAGTGCCTCTTGCCTGTCACCCTTTTTGTATATTGGGACTACATTAGCTGTCTTCCAGCTTTCCGGTTGGTCTCCTGTTTCCAGTGACCTGTTATACAGTTGGGAGTTGTTGGGGCGTTAGGGGGGGGGGGGGACACACTTGCCGAGCTCCACGAAAAACAATATATATCTAGAGTTATTTCAGTGATACAGCACGGGAGACATCTCCCGTCACGCAGGGTGCAGTCGCACCTCCACAGATCTCCAGTATCATCTATTGATACTGGTGATGGCTCAAAAGGGCCACCACTTACGGGCTATTCATGCCCGTGAATTTTGGGTGGCTTAATCTTCATCAATCAGTGACATAGGAACTAAACAGTCTGATATCTCATAAAGTGCGTCTCAACATATTAAACAATAGACCATAGTGAGTCTTCAAGTCACTTGTGTTATCCCGTCTTGAGTACTGCTCAGTACTCACTTCCCCCTTCAGAGCAGGAGAGATTGCTGAAATAGAGGGAATACAGAGAACATATACGGCACGCATAGACGCGATAAAGCACCTAAATTATTGTGATCGTCTCAAAGCTCTCCAAATGTACTCACTAGAAAGAAGACGAGAGAGATATCAAATAATATACTTCTGGAAGATACAGGAGGGCCAGGTCCCAAATCTACACAGTAAAATAACAACGTACTGGAGTGAACGATATGGAAGAAAATGTAGAATAGAACCAGTGAAGAGCAGGGGTGCCATAGGCACAATCAGGGAACACTGTATAAACATCAGAGGTCCGCGGTTGTTCAACGTCCTCCCAGCAAGCATAAGAAATATTGCTGGAACAACCGTGGACATCTTCAAGAGAAAACTGGACTGTTTTCTAAAAAAAAAAAAAATAAAAGTGCTGGACCAACCGGGGAGTGGTGGGTATGTGGGGCCTGCGGGCCGCTCCAAGCAACAGCCTAGTGGACCAAACTCTCACAAGTCAAGCCTGGCTTCGGGCCGGGCTTGGGGAGTAGAAGAACTCCCAGAACCCCATCAACCAGGTATCAGGCAGGTCAGTGTGGGGGTGGTGAGAGGGAGGGAGACGTTCAAAAGTAGTGCACAGGAAATCAGTGTCACAGAATTTAATGGAAAGGAAACATCATGCATAAACGCTGAGCTTAATACATGGATTAACACCATAGAAAAATGCATGAATTATCACATCCCCTCCAAGATGAGCTGCAAGATCTATGCAAAACAAGAGTACACCAAACAATGGGATGACCTAATAAGCAAAATTCAAGTCGACTACAGAAACCCGGGAAAGTTCTGGAAAAAAGTAAAGACTGATGAGAAACTCTTCTGAGAAAACACCCTACATCATAGACGCCTCAGGAAATAAAATCTGAGGTGAGAGAACAAAAGCAGGAATTCAGGAAGTTCTGGGAAAAAATATTCAGGATAAACCCGGAAGAAAATATAAACTTTTGCCCAATTAATGAAAGGGAAATTACAACTCAAGTCGATAAGAGAGCTGCAGCACTACTCCCGACGCGAACAATAGACCTTAACAACATACGCGATGACTGCCACCTTATGAAACACATAACCATTGCGGAGGTCCATAAAACAATTATGGGTTTCAAGAACAAGGCGCCGGGCAACAGCAAGATAAATAAGATGGTATTATCCAACCTACCAGTGATTGCACTCCATCAATACACACGTATAATAAATCCAGCTCTTGCATCTGGACTATTCCCCACATACTTCAAGAATGCCACAATCAGATTAATCCCCAAGCCAGGTAAACCCCCAACCCAAACTGAAAATTACAGGCCAATTTCCCTCCTTGAAGTACCAGACAAAATATTCGAAAAAATTATCAATCAGAGACTTGTGAAGTACATGGAAGAGGAAGAGAAGTATAACACCAGGTAACATGGGTTTAGAAACAGCAGACGGGCCCATACAGCTATAGCCCTGATCTACCAGCATATAGCCAACGCAGTGTCGAAAAAAGATCAATGCTTAGAGACGTTTCGAAAGCCTTCGACAAAATTTGGCACACAGGCCTAAAATATAAGATATCTGAACTAGGACTTCCTGAGAGATTTACTGCTACTCTCTACAGCTTTATAGACAACAGAACTGCTAGGCTTAATATCGGCAGCTACTTGGGTGACGTAATAGAACTGAAAAGTTGAGTACCACAAGGAAGCTGCCTCTCCCCCACTCTATTCAACATATACAGCTGACCTACCCCAACCCCAACATGGAGAATACATCACGTACTCTGACGATGTCGGCCAAATAATATGCCAACCGGGAGCATCAAAGCCGCTACTAGCCGACAAGACCAAGGCAGCAATTGAACTCATAAACAACTTTGAGAAGCAATGGAAAATTAGCACCAACAAACAAAAGTTTCAGATAATACACATTGCGAAAAGAAACCCGGACCCCATCATCCTTGACAACCATCCGATCCAATATGCGGAGGTAGGCAGAATACTGGGACTCATGATCAATAGAACAGGGATACAAATTCATGTAAGGGACCGACTAAACAAAGCGAAAGCAGCCTTAGGAAAATTGAGGAGATTCCGAAGCCTCAGTACTAACATTCAGATCCACCTATATAAGGTTCTAGTTGGGCCGCATCTAGAGTATCCCCCAGTACCACTACACACCATAAAGAAAACAAACATGCAGAAACTGCAAGCAGTACAAAATAAAGTGCTAAGGAGAGCAGCAAAACACCGTCCACCATATGATCAGACAATCCAGGAGCTCCACGAACTCCTGAACATACAGCCACTAAACATCAGACTGCAGCACCAAGCCATCAGGGTGTGGAACACCATCGAAATACTAGAGGACCCAATGTTAGAAAGATTGCTCCAAGATGAGACGCCCCGCTCCCACAGCTGGTGGCCCAAGATGAGACGCCCCGCTCCCACAGCTGGTGGCCCAAGATGAGACGCCCCGCTCCCACAGCTGGTGGCCCAAGATGAGACGCCCCGCTCCCACAGCTGGTGGCCCAAGATGAGACGCCCCGCCAAGATGAGACGCCCCGCTCCCACAGCTGGTGGCCCAAGATGAGACGCCCCGCTCCCACAGCTGGTGGCCCAAGATGAGACGCCCCGCTCCCACAGCTGGTGGCCCAAGATGAGACGCCCCGCTCCCACAGCTGGTGGCCCAAGATGAGACGCCCCGCTCCCACAGCTGGTGGCCCAAGAGCCGCGATTTACTAGAAGCAAACCCAGCCCCACAGTACATAATTCCCAGATGAAATACTGACCAGAAATCCTTCCCACAATAAATGGAAAAATTTAGTACATGTGTGTATGTGTATAGTTGTGTGTATGCATATGTATACGGGTATATATATGTATAGGTGTATGTATGAATAACTCAATAAATAATAATAATAAAGAGCCTTAAACAGAACAACATGTGTGGAAGCATCGGAGTGTGTATATATGAATGCTACACAATATTCATCTATAGACATCCATATGCGGTGAAACACATGTGAAGAACCTCTCACACACTCACAGCTCCCTGACAAGAGGGAGCC